ATATCCAGGCGTTACAAAGTGGTGTTCCTGCGCGCCATCCGGATGGCGGACAAGGACGAGAATCTGAAGGTCCGTGTCGCTAACCTGATCGACGCCATCACCTACGCCGTGTTCATCTACACCAGCCGGGGACTGTTCGAACGGGACAAGCTCATCTTCACGTCACAAGTGGCCTTCCTGGTGAGTTGGAGGTTTTTTGTATATAGTATGTCATATGCTATAGAGTAAGTCGATCATTGACCACAGAAGATTTAATCATCTCAAATATGAATGCCAATGACAATCAACGTAATTCTTTTTTCTCAGGTATTGCTGATGAAGAAGGAGATCAACCCGACTGAACTGGACTTCTTGTTGCGGTTCCCAGCCAGACCGAACTGTAAGAGCCCGGTGGACTTCCTAAACGACCTGTCTTGGGGAGGGATAAAGGTCAGTACATCAGAGTATCAAGTAGAAGACGCAGAATTGGACATAAAAGACAGATATTCTTCAGAGTGCCATTTATGTTAGGAATCGTGTTGGAGTAACAACTGTTCTTTTTATCATAATGTAGGCCCTGGCAGACATGGACGAATTCAGGAATCTCGACCGTGACATCGAAGGGTCTGCCAAACGTTGGAAGAAGTTCGTGGAAAGCGAGTGTCCCGAAAAGGAGAAGTTCCCCCAGGAGTGGAAGAACAAGTCTGCCCTGCAGAAACTGTGCATGATGAGGGCCTTCCGTCCGGACAGGATGACCTACGCTACAAGGTAGATTTTGTTATAATTGTTGGCAAATGATTAAACGTTAAACAAATCCATGCTCTACAAATACACTAGAAAGTAGGGGTATCAGGAAACATCATGGATTTCTTACCACATAGACGCTTTTGACTAAAATCGAAGTGTATAAGTTATCCTACTAGTACGTGGTACATTTATGATTATGCGACAATGGCGCTATACAGGCATGATATATGGGACTGCATTCTGGAAAGCAAATCTCTGCCTAATAATGGAATTTGATTAACTAACATTGATTTTGATCTGCTCTATAGAAATTTCGTGGAAGAAAAGCTGGGAAGCAAGTACGTGGAGGGCAGGACGATGGAGTTTGCCAAGTCGTGGGAGGAGAGCGGCATCGGCACCCCGATCTTCTTCATCCTCTCCCCCGGTGTCGACCCCCTGAAGGATGTGGAGGCCCTGGGGAAGAAGATGGGCTTCACGTGGGACTCAGGGAAGTTCCACAACGTGTCCCTGGGGCAGGGCCAGGAGATAGTAGCTGAGAAGGCCCTGGATATGGCGTCCGAGCAAGGCCACTGGGTCGTCCTTCAGGTAAAAATTTAGCGTCATGTTTTGTATTTGACGAGTTGCTTTCAAGGAATATAAGATACAACGTGGCAAAATTATCTGATTGCCGTGCAAGTTTCACTGCTAAATGTTTCTTACATTTATTACCGTCGACAGAACATCCATTTGGTGGCCAAATGGCTGGCAACTCTGGACAAGAAGCTGGAGAAGTACAGCGAGGGCAGTCATGAGGACTACCGGGTGTACATCTCAGCCGAGCCGGCTCCAACTGTGGAGGCTCACAATATCCCTCAGGGCATTCTGGAGGCCTCCATCAAGATCACCAACGAGCCCCCTACCGGCATGTATGCTAACCTGCACAAGGCTCTGGATAACTTCGACCAGGTAATATACATATGAATGTAAGACTATGGCAAAAGAGATGTAGTTGAGAATGGTACTAATCCTTTGTAAAAGCTTCCAAAAATGTAGGTATTTCTATGTATGATAAAGTAATCACATCATTACAGCTAAAATAATAGATATGATTATGTGACTTATTTGTGCGCATTTGTCAGTTGGAGAAACAGTAGGATACAGTAATTAATTGTTATCTGAACGTTATACAGGATACCCTGGAGATGTGTGCCCGAGAGAACGAGTTCAAGTCGATCCTGTTCAACCTGTGTTACTTCCACGCCGTTGTGGGTGAGCGGCGCAAGTTCGGGCCGCAGGGATGGAACCGGCCCTACCCGTTCAACGTCGGCGATCTCACCATCTCCTGTAACGTCCTCTTCAACTACCTGGAGGCGAACACCAAGGTACGGGGAGCATGATACATGGGATACTGTATACTTAGCGCGCACACACTCATCCAAAATTGAGTCAGGCAAAACTACTGATAACTAGAAAGGCCAATATTTGCTTTGGAGCAAATACAGCGATGGGTTCACCACATTTTACGACATGGCAGGGAAAGAATGGGAAACACAAGGGAAAACAATGATTTACATTGATATAACTATAATATGAAGTAAAATACAACTAAAACAACAGTTGGATAGCTATTCCCTACTTTATTGGTTAGGATTTTTAATTGCATAATGCAAACTGTTGATTTTCAAAATAAAAAACGTCCATGCCCGGCATTCCAATGCTGGAGCAGGAAAGCTTGAAATACCTACCAAAACACTTGAATACAGACATACTGTCAGTATGGAAATGCTTCTGTGCAGGTGTTAATCAAGTTAAATCCCAACAGCCAATCAGCAAGAAGTATAAAGGAAAGCTGCATGCCTATTGGTTGATGCCCTGCATTCCATTGTGATGACTCATGCCCAAACGTGGTAAACAAGGCAGACTAACACAGTAATACATTTGCTATAACACAGCCAAAAAACTCGAATAAAACCATTCTAAAAGCCTGTATCACAATAATTTAAAAAACGCCTAGGGGTATTTGCCCACTGTACCTCCATACCAAATTTCAGGACCTTAGGCCCTAAAATGAAGAAGCTGAATCCATTTAAAGATATGGCAGGAGGAGGAGAAGGAGGAGGAGAAGAAACATCAGAACTAGAAAGGCCAATATTTGCTTTGGAGCAAATACAGCGATGGGTTCACCACATTTTACGACATGGCAGGGAAAGAATGAGAAACACAAGGGAAAACAATGATTTACATTGATATAACTATAATATGAAGTAAAATACAACTAAAACAACAGTTGGATAGCTATTCCCTACTTTATTGGTTAGGATTTTTAATTGCATAATGCAAACTGTT